CTGTGGGGCAACTGGGCTCAGAGACTGCGACCTCTGTTGGTGTTTTTTTCAGGGCTGCATCTTATACCCCATATCCCAAAGTGCATGACCAAAGAGCAAGTCTGGCTTCGGATATGTGCTGTTGCTTCCATGGAGTTAAGTGAGCTTCCTTCCTGATGGCACTGTCTTGCTGAACTATTTCTCCTCAAAGGGAGTAATACTGTTCTGTCAGGCGCTGCGCCAGTTCACCCACTGAGTCTTTTGCTGGGATCCACCTAGAACCTAGGGCAATGACCTAGAACCAAAATACTCTTAAGTTCTTCCCAGCTTTTGCTGGAGATCAGAAGAGGAGAGAAAGGAGAAAAAGAACTGAGAAAACCCTATACTAAATAAGTAGAAAATCCTTCCCATAGTCCTAAACACCAGTTGTGGATGCCGGCCCCCATTGCTTAGGGCCTCAATGTTTAGTTCTAGTATCCATAATCCCCAGGATGTAACTTAATCACCTGAAGTCTAAGATAGAAGATAGTAAGTAACCTAAGACTCAAATGCTTGTTGGATGGTTCACCTATGAGCCAAGATCAGAATTCTGTGAACCAGAGCCTCCCCTTGCCACTCTCCCTGACACAACAGGGTACTTCTGGGACACTTGCGATCTTTTACTTCTAGCCACTCTTCAACTAAACTTTAAAGATTCTACCAGACTCCCTGACAATAACATATGATTTCCTTTGCAAACTTCCCCCATGCTATCCCTTAAAAACAGGGTTCAGAGACTGCTGATAACTCCACAGTGGGAACTGGGCCCTGCTTTACAAGAGTTCCACTGGCTTTTTTGTTCAAGGAGAGCTGATATGTCTGTCATACTGAGGCTCACCAAGACAGTGTGCCACAGGTGAAACTCATCTTTCCTAATCCAAAGGAAGCACTCTCCCAACCTATGTCAATGAGCTCAGGAGGCACCTGAACAAGGCAGAATCTCTTTTGTGGCTGGTTCCATGTCAGTAACTATGATGCCAGGAAAATGTCAATTTTTATTCCCAGGAAGAAGGATAGTCAGGGCAGTGATTTTAATAGAGGGAAGTTTCCAGAGTATTTCAAAGCTCCATAACAAGGATATGGAGAACTGTCACATCCTTGCAATCAGATAAAAATCACCACAAAATTGAACAGGATGACAGGAAGTAATCAGATCAGCCCCTGTGTTAACATTTCCAGAGCTCTTCCCACTATCTCCACCACCCCTTTGCCAGCATAATTGACTTTCCCAAGCAGGTGGCCCTACTCCTTAGAAGGTCATCAGCATGAGAAACAAGTCAGTCTCTCAAAGGACACCTTAACTAGAGCCTTTAACACATCCTATTAGCCATTCACATGCTACTTCCACTGAGAAAATACACACCACCTCACTCTACCTCAGGACCCCCAAAGGCCCTCAGGCACGAGAGTGGTCATGTGATCACTGGGCTGGGGCTGTACTCTCTGCCCCACCAGGGTCCAAGGTATGTCAGCCTTTAGAAGGCACCTTGGTGCACCAAGGCATTTTACATTCTGGGGCTATCACCTCCTACAGTCACTTTGTGCAAAATTGAAACAGTGTGTGGTACTTGCATGTTTCACTCTATACAAAAATTCTCCCTCCCTCCCCTACCCTTTTTAAACATTTATATAAATTCTTATTTAAACAGTAAGTTAGAAATCTTATTTACATTAATTTCTTTGTTCTCCCAAAAGAACATCTAAAATCACACTCCCGCCCCTTAATAGGATATAAATGTTCACCTAAATCGGTTTTGTATTATTGTTTTAAGAAGAGAGAAAGGGAGAAGAATGAACCATCAGCTAAACTGTTTCTCCATCTTCTACAAATAAATAAGATATGGATAAGAAGCCAGTTTGCCCAGGGTCTTGCAGAGCCCTCAATCAATAAATCCTAAGACTACGTCAGGGTTTGGGCCATTTCTCCTTTTCTCCAAATTGATGCACTACATCCTTTGAGGTATGATTTATTTTTTTTTTCTTCTCAGTCACGTGCCACGTGGAGCCCCTGGGGGTGTCAAAGCCCATGAGGCTGTCAGAGTTTGGGAGCTCCTCTGGTACTGGCATCAATAGCCAGTAAGGGAGGCCTGCAGGCGCTGCAGGCCCTGGTTCAGGGTCATGGTCCCTGGCTAGTGGTAGGTATCACAGTGCGTCCTCTTCACTGCAGCCTCCGCCAATCATGAAACGGAACTCCTGGAGGTTTGAGACACCATGGAAATGAACAAAAGCGCCAGCAACCACGAAGATGTGAAATAGCTGATGAGAGTGAAACTGGAGGCAAAAGAAAGGGGGGAGGAGTAGAGAAAACCCATACATTATTAAAAGTCTGCTAAAGATTTTTAAGATCATTTATACTGAGCAGAGGTCAGGGAATGGAGGTGACAGAGCTCAAATCTGAGGTATCCACAGGTCTTGGAACATCCATTAGGCATATCACATTCTGCTGAACTGAAGAACAGCTGTCCCCAAAGAAATCAAGGTGCTGCCACTATAGTCTAGACATGAAAATGTGCACACTTAACACTGGAGTATCTGATGAATTCAGGGGCAAATGACATACACAGACTCTTGTCACCAGGTCACAAAGGCCCCAAGGGTCCCTTGATGTCTAGCAGTGGGCTACAGTTAGACAGGCATTTTCCTCATTGCTGATGAATGTTTTTGTCATGCACTAAAGCACCAGCGCTACAGTCATTTAAATGTTGCTCTCTATTTGAAAAATTAAAGGGATTTCCAGGATTGGGTACAAGGTTAAAACCTATGGTGGCTAGAGTTTCCTCCAGCTCTAAGACTCTGGAATTACATGAACAACATACTGTATCAAAAGACTAGTAAAGCAAGACCTTTTGCTTCCTTCTCAAGTAAAAAGTTGGTCTACAAACATTGATATTATTTCTGATTTAACCTATTCCACTGAATGCTAGTTCGCATCTCAAAAGGGGTTCTCAAATGCTCGGTGTACCAAAAACAACTTCAAAATCACACTATTCTCTCGTTATAGTCTCGAAATGAAAAAGTACAGCGGCAAAAGAGTATTTATCCTTGGGAAAGACACTGATTTTAGAAGTGTAAACTAGAAGGATCCATAAGTCATAGTCAGAGAGATGTTTCCTAGGAAACCAAAGGGAATTCATTCTCCCAAAAAAGGGAGGCAAGGTAAAAATCTCTCCATATTAATGTCAAAATTATGAGAAGGCAAACTCAGAGATAAATCAGCTCATTTGAAGCTCAAAATACTGCCTAAATTATCATTATCTTCATTTTACAGATAGCTAAACTAAACTTTGAAGAGACTAGATGATCAACTTAGTCTATAATAATCAGCAACAGGTTGAGGAACAGAATGCCAAAGGTCAGATGTCATATCAAACAGCACTCCAACTCTATACTGTTAAAACATGTCAGGCCATCTTCTGTTAAAAAATTTTCCATCTATTGGTCCCTTATATTTTCTTTTCCCTTTCTTGTTCCTTTTCTCTTACCACTTACCACAATTTAGTTATATCTACCTCCCATTCCAACCAAACATACATATACACTCAATCTCTCATCATAAACCGCTAAAATTTGGTGATCGAAAAGGACTTAGGTAAGAATCTGGACCTTGGTAAAAATCTAGTCCATCACCTTCATTTCATAAGTGAGGAAACTAAGACAAAGGATGACTAAATGACTTGCCAATACAGTGCAGTATACAGAAGCATAGAGTCTGATATTAGACTAGCCTGATACAAATTCTACTCCTAGGACATAACAGCCAGGCACACTGTACAAGTTACCTAATCTCTTTAAACCTCACTCCCGAATCTGTAAAATGAAAACATTAGTAGCAGGTTGTTATATATTACAGGGCTAATGTGTTATTAAATGAGGTAATCCATGTAAAGCACTCACTTAGTACTATGCTAGGCACCAAGTAAGTGCTCAATAAATGTAGTTACTATTGTACTTACCATCCGGAGAAACACAACTAATAAGATGGTAAAATCACTCGATTCTGAGTCAAAAACTTTTTCAAATATTTCACTTCTCAGTCTGCCAAATAACCCACTAAGATATGTATGTACACACAATAATCAGCCCTGAGCATACTTACCCAGATGTCACACTTGCCAGGAAAGAAGCGTTCAGGGATGCGAGCAGCGTACAGGGCAGCTCCCGTGATATAGAGGCCGGCCATTAGCAACAACCAGCCAATCTGTCCTATGGTGGCAGCCTTTAGGAACCCCTCCGAGATGACATAGTGCAAGGCAGGAATGATTCCACTCAGGCCTAGACCCAAAAACACTCCTAGGAATCACAAGAAAAGAATAAAGCAAAAATGCAGAAGAGAAATAAGGAACAAGAAGTAAGTATTACAGCAAAGAACCAGTAATTCTGTAAACTGACCATTTCAAAGTAGGATGTAACATTAGCTTCTTGTTTGAATGGAAAATGAAGGTTCCAGACAAGAAAGCACAGCTATGCTCTAAAAGATAGATCTATTTACAAATGCAAGGAACTCTCTGCTGAGAGAAGCTTAACTTAAGTCAGCAGTCCTCAAAGCATTTAGAATTATGTTGCAAACTGTTTTAGGAAGACAGCTCTAGGAGTTTGTTTAAAACTCAGCTAAATGCTGCCTCTTTATAGACACCGGTTGTGATACAGAGCAATTTTACATATTTTATCTTCCCTTTAAAGCAATAGATATTCCTGAGGTGAAAGTGGGAATGGCGGGGGCGGGGGGGGGCAATGAGAGAGTGAGAGGTGGAGGTGAGAAAACAAAAGGTAATTATTGGTTCTGATGAATCCCCAAAATATTTTTGGGAACCACAGCTAGAACCAAACTCAGCTAGAGGTTCCTCCCTCCAAGCCTTGTCCTCATTTCCCAGAGAGGGAGAGGGAGGGGGAGGGAAGAGGAAGAGGGAGGGGAAGAAGAAGGAGGAGGAGGGGGAGGGACAGAGGAAAGGGGAGGGCAGGAGAAAGGGGAGGGGAGGAGAAAAGGGGAAGGGAGGGGAAGAGAGAGGGGAGAAGAGAGGAGGGAGGGGTGGGGGAAGGGGGCAGACAGATGCTTGTGAAAGCTCCCAGGCCCAAAAGCACCAATCAGATGCAGAAGTCCATCGGTCACTTTACCAAGCCCTACTGCCTTCAAAATCATCTGCAGCAGAGTTTTTCAAACTTCTGGACATGACCCAGGTTATAAGATCAACTAAGTGAGTCTAGATCAGCATTTTTTAAATTAACTAGAATAAAATAACAAATATCAGCCTGTGTCACAAGTGGATGTTACAAGTGGAAAGTTAAGCATACTTTGTAAAAAGTTTTGTAATCGATATTTTCATAAATCTATACATATATGTATGTTTATATACATATTTGTATACATACACGTGTGTTCAGGGTTGTAAGAGAAAATGTCATGATCAAAAAAGTTTGAAGGCAACTGATCTAAAACTACTTTGAAATCTGTGTCAACCAATGAACCACATGAACTCCCTGCAAGGGCCATAACTGCTCCTACATTTTGACACAGAGACTTAAAAATGATCCTTGCAAAACAACCATTTGGTAAACTTTCTCAAAAGACAAGGAGCTTACTGCTTGCTTTAGACATTACCAAATAAGGTGCTGGTATGCAACGACATATGTATGCACATATGCATACTCATAAATAAAACGGGCATCTAAAAGAGAAGAGGAAAATGGCAATGCTCATCTCACATAAGAAAGGAATCAAGCAAGCCTAAATAAAAACTACTTCCTACCTCTATACTTCACTAAAGAAAAAGCATCTGATCCTGTTCTTTCACTTGTTCTTTTCCTCTATCAGCAACGGCTGCTAATAATGGTCTTGGCTGTCACTAAGTCAAAGGCTCAGGAATTTGCTTCTTCTGATGTGTATAAATAGCAGGACATTCAGCACTGCTAGCAAAGTCGTTCCTATCTCACGTGCTCAAGCAGGCTTAACACCACAGTTAAGTACTACTGGAAAGCCAACCATGACCACTACTCTTGCTCATATAAACACTCAAAAAGGGAAGAGAGTAGAGTGCCATAACAGTGATCATTAACAAAGTTAATTCTAACTTCTAACCTTCAAACCATGGCTTGGATTTTAATACTAAATGTTTTTGGTTTTTTTAAGGTTAAAAGGAAAAACACTCCTTTTCATTCTTCTCAGTAGACGCTGGGTTTAGTACTGGGAAAAGAAAATTCGAGACACAGCCTGGGCTATAAGGAGGCCCCAGTCCAGTAGGAGACAAAAAAGCATGTCTGTTAACCTCATACTCCTACAGGAAGGCTCAACCAAGGCACTCTGAGGCTTCTGACTTTCCATATGATCTCCAGCTAAATAGACATTATCCTAAAAAATCTCTTTATCTCTACAACAGAAGAGATGTGTGGTGCCTATTGTAGTAGAACACAGTCTTATTTACCTAAGCAGATTACACATTTTAAAATAAAAATACAAAACAAAAATGACAACAAAAAAAAAAGGAAAAAATCACTAAAAAAATACATTTCAAGCTGAGAGTAAGAGGAATTATTGTTTGTTTTACAAAGGTTATGGAGCCCCTGCCTTACCAACAGTGTATGGCCATAAACTCAAGTAAACATAGTCCAAAACAAATCAGCTCACATAGCTCACTACTACCTCTCCCCGTCAACTCTAATGCTTTAAGACAAATAATGAACACTACTACATTAAAAGCCCCTCGAGAACAGAAACTATGATTTATTAATCTTTGCATCATAAGTATATAGCATAATGCTTGGCAAATGGTAGGCTTTTAATAAATAACTGGTAAATAAATAAATGTCCAATATAAAACCTCCACATGCTCTTCTTACCTGCTCTTACTCCTCGATACTGAGGAGTGGCAAACATGTCCCACTGGGAGACTATAATGGCTGCGATGCCCAGCACACAGATGACAATCAAGTAGATGAAGCAAGGTTGTGGATTACAGTAGAAAGAATAATAAAGCCAAGGAACGAAACTTCCCATAATCAGAAGAGCAATACCAGAGTAATCCAGTCTAGAATAGGGGGGAAAAAGTCCATTTAATAATAAGTATTACTGCTCACTACATGTTCCAATTAATTCCTCAAGACATGAACTAGCAACAATAGCTAAGAGGCAAATCAGGGTGCTTGCTTTCATTTGTTTTTTTAAAAATTCTCATCAGGTGGTAGAGGATTCCGCCAACTCTGCTGGATGATTTTCCCTAACCCACTGACTAAATCATTGATCAATTTATCGACTTTACAGGTACTTACTTAGAGAAGAGTCGGGAGACCCCTTCTGAGTGGCAGTAGACTGTGTGGAAGAGCCATGAAAAAGAAAGGCAGAGAATGGCTCCCAAGAAGAATAATCCAAAGACCACCTTCTCTTGCAGAGGGGCCACAAAGGAGATGTTTGGGCGAAACATATAAAAGATCCCCAGGCACAGGAAGAATACACAACCTAGGAAAAGAGTACAGAAGAAAGAGAAAAAGGATTATCTTTTGAAGAGGCAATGTTATATGCCAATTATGTTTTCAATCACAATGATATCTGGATTCAAAATTCCATGAGAAAAATTTTCGAAAGAACTAAAGCTTATTCAAAATTTTGGCTATTTCAAATATTATTGGTATCATATACTCCTCAGCTTCATAAACTGAGTATAAAGACTATATTCACTTATTTATCTAAGAGCATAATCTAAAAGCAAACCAGACAATGCCATCACTTCTTTGAAGACTAAATTAGTCCACTTCTACCTCAAGATCTAGTATAAAATTTCATTTACCAAATTTTGGGGGGTAAAAAAAAACATGGGGGCATGGTGGAAATCAAATGTGTGATAAGAAATGCAAGTCAATGGGGTGAGGCCAGAAACTATTTAGTATACAATAGTCCCCCAGTTATCTACAGTTTTACTTCCATGGTTAAGTTACCCATAGTCAACAGGGCACATAGGATGTACGCCAGCTTTCAAAGGACCATTCTACATTTGTTTTTGCAATGAATTCCAATACCTCCAAATTCTGCCAAGAAATACAGCTTTCCTCCACCAACAGTTGTCAGGGAACACTATGCTTCTCTAGTCCTCACCAAGTGGCCCAATAGATTCAAGAATTAAGGACAGTAAAATGCCTATTTAGGCTATTTCATAACCCGTTTTTAAATTGTTATTCATAGTAAGATGCCATGTTCTTACTGCTTAGGGAAGGGCCACGACACAAGGAAGGCATGGAAATTAAGAATTTTTGAACATTTGCTAAGTACTATATTTGATTCATTTAGTAAAAAATGCCCTGGAGTTAGAAGTCAGCAATGAACCTGATTTGATACTCTATTCTACTCCCACTATGCTGGCAGATAGGAACATGGGGGCACGGTGGAAAACAAATGTGTGATAAGAAATGCAAGTCAATGGGGTGAGGCCAGAAACTATTTAGTATACAATAGTCTCCCAGTTATCTACAGTTTTACTTCCATGGTTCAGTTACTCATAGTCAACAGTGGTTAAATTAAAATATTAAATAAAAAATTCCAGAAATAAACAATTCATAAGTTTTCAATTGTGCGCCATTCAGAGTATCATGATAAAATCTCACACCATTCCACGTGGAACATGAATCATCCCTTTATCCAGTGTGTATATGCTACCCACCCGTTAGTCACTTAGTAGCTGTCTCAATAACTTTTATTACAGTATATAGTTATAACTGTTCTATTTTATTACTAATTATTGTTGTCAATCTTTTACTGTGTCTAATTTATAAATTAAACTTTATCATAGGTATGCATGTATAAGAAAAAACATAGTTTATACAGAGTTCGGTACTACCTGTGGTTTCAGGCCTCCACTGGGAGTCTTGGAATGTGTATTCCCCTGGGATATGGCGAGGGGTGGAGGGGGGCGGATTACAACCATCACCACTATTAAATTTCAGAACATTTTCATCACCCCTCAGAAATGCCCTATACTTATTACAGTCATCTCCCATTCCTCAATTCCCACCCTAGACAATCACTAAGCTATTTTCTGTCTCTAGATTTTTTCATTTTGCATATTTCATGTTTATGGATCATAAAATATGTGGCCTTTTGTGTCCACCAGCTTCTTCCTCTTAACATATGTTTTCAAGGCTCACCCATGTTATAACATGTATCAATATCAAATAGTATTTTATTGTTTGTATATACCATAATTTATTTATTCATCAGGTTGTTTCCACTTTTTGAGTATTTAGGTTGTTTCCACTTTTTGGCTATTAAGTTTAATGTTGCTAAAAACATCTGTGTACTCATTTTTGTGTGAACATGTTTTCAATTCTCTTGAGTATATGACTAAGGTGTAGAGTTGCTGATAACTCTGTTTAATTATTTGAGGAACTGCCAAACTGGTTTCCATGGAGGCTGCACCATTTTACATTCCTACTCATAATGTATGAGAGTTCTAATTTTTCCACATCCTTGCCAAAATTTGTTATTTTCCACTTTCTTGATTACAGCCATAGTAGTGGGTATGAAGTGGTATTGTATTTCTCAAAATGCAAAAAAATATTTGATTTGCATTTCCAAAAATGACTAATGATGTGAGCATCTTTTCATGTGTTTATTGGCCACTGGTAGATCATCTTTGAGGAACTGTCTATTCAGTTGCTTTATTTGTTTTTTAAATTGGGTTCTCTTTTTATGTTTAGTTGTTGTAGGAGTACATTACTAGACCCTTATCAGATAGATGTTTTGCAAATATTTTCTTCTTCTCACTTTCTAGAAATGTCTTTTGACACACAAAAGTTTTTAATTTTGACAAAGTCCAATTTATCCATTTTTTCTTTAGTTGCATATGTGTTAGATATCAATTCTAAGAAACCTCATCTAATCCAAGGTCGCAAAGATTTAAAACTATGTTTTCTCCTAGTGGTTTTATAGTTTTAGATCTTTATGATTATGTCTTTGATCCATTTTGAGTTAATTTTTGTATATGGTGTGAGGTACGGGTCCAAGTTCACTCTTTTACATGTGGTTACTCAGTTTTCCCCAATACCATTTGTTAAAATGATTATTCTTTCCCCCATTGTATTCCTTAATATACAATTGTGTTGGAAAAAAATATTATACAACACATTCTACTTCAAGCCAAACTGAAATTTAATTGTGAATATTCCAAATAAGGACTTTGAAAAACTATTAAATAACCACCTTCCTCAGTGTTTATTAGAATATTATACCACATTTCATATAGCACTTTTTCCTTGGTTGGCCTGGTTTGGACACTGTCTAAAAATCTAATAAAGAAAAATATGACTTAGCTATAATAAAATTATAGTGCAAACTAGGATAACCACAGAGTAAATCAGTGAGAAACTGCATTAATAGAAATCCAGAAAACAAAATGGCCAGTCTCAAATACATTTTTAAGTTCTGTCCTTATTATCAAGATATAAAGGGAAAAAAAAGAATAAAAGTGAATCACCAATTCATCATACCACTGATATCACATACCTAAGAGATGTGTCCAAATGTTGCCTGTCTCTGTGTGTATTCTAAAAATGCTTTTAAAACAGGCCCGGAAAGAAGGCATAGGGGGCCGGTGTCCATGTAAAAGGAAGTCGTTATCCTTGAGCCAGTCTGGGAGTACATCATGAGGGATTACTCGCCATCGACCTTCCCATACCTGGAAGAAGATTATCAAATACCTTTGGGGTTTTAATTGTCAGTTTAGCAACACTGCTACCAAATAACAATCTCTTCACCACAATTTCTTAAATTTTCTTATGAGAAAAATAACTTTTACAAAGACAAACATTCAAAATGTATAACATCCTGTATTGAGTTTTTAAAAACAGATTGATCAAAAAGGTATTTTTTTAAATGGGGGACTTTTCTCAACAGAAGGAAAGAGTAAATGAACTTTGCCCTAAAGAGTAGTTTCAAACTTTCTTTCAGTCTGGCTAAAAAGGAGGGTGAGGGGTTCAAAGCCCCACCCACAGACTCCCCGCCTTCATCTTCCACAACAGCCTTTACCTCTGAAAAATCCCTGTGATATTAAATCTGACCATTTTTATGCTTAATATTCCTTTTGGTAGAAAAAACAACTATACAGAATCACACTTTTGTGCCTTTTGCTAAAATCTCTCCCTCTCCCTTTACTTTCTCTTCCTTCCAACAGCAAATATGAAGTAGAAATGAGCACAGAAGTCAGAAAATCTTAGATCTCTGTCATTAACTGGCTGAATGAGCTATAATCACAAAATCAAGTCTCAGTTTCCTCATTTATAAAATGAAGATAATAGCGCTTCAATGTTTATGAAGAGTCAAATGAAATAACCCAAAGCACTTCATAAATGAGATAACAAACCCCAGCATCCACCCCAAAGGTAGTATTAACTCCAATCATCCCCAGAAGGGATCACCTGTCGAGAATTTGTGACTAATCCATGCTCCTCGAGCTAGGAAGATAAGCCTTAACTTAGCTTCCTTCAAGCTCCTTTGCCCCCCTCTCTCCCTCTTCCTCACTGTCCCTCCAGCATCAGACTCTAAAGGAAAAGGGATCAGATCAGGAGTTTGGTATTCCTTCCTTAAAAAGTTTGTCAACCTCTACACTCTGCTTCTTTTAAAGTCTCTCAGCCCAGAGAGCTCACACCACAAGATCACTTAATCCTAAACTAACTTGCTTCTGCTAGCCAGAAAAATGTAAGGAAAAATGCCAGCCACATGGTCAACCTACAGACTCAGCTTTCAACAGTGATTCCCAGACCACTCTCCTCAGGGTTCTTGTGACAAGCAACATGGCTGGGCCATACAAACTTGGTTCTCTCTCTACTATACAGAGAGACTACCACTTATTTGCCAGCTACTGTACCCATTCCTTTTGCTCCACAACAATTTCCTGTTCTAGGCTTTCCTCGACCCTTCCTGACATTTATAAAAGAACCGATTCTCTGTGTAACTCCAAAGGAAAGAAGTGAGGACTAAATTTAAGAACAGAAATGGCCATTTTAATACTCTATTAAAATTCACTCAGGACATGGTTCCACAGTGTAGCGGTTAGCACATCTGCTTTACAAGCAGAAAGTCCTGGGTTTGCACCCCAGTGGAGGCCCGGTCCATGGTCTACGGCCATGCCACCCTGAACAAGCCGATGTTTGATCTCAGAAGCTAAGCAGGGTTGGGCCTGGTTAGTACTTAGATGGGAGACCATCTAGGAAGACCAGGTGCTGTAGGCATAAATAATAATAAATAATTTTTAAAAAGAAAAAGAAAAATTCACCCACTGTCTCTACCTTCCTTCCAACTCAAAACCTGAGGCCTGTGATTACTGGTGCTAATCTGGCCGTTCCACGCTTGTTCCTAACATACAATAAAATAAAATAATACCAACAGACTAATCTAGATTTTTAATGTCTACTGCTAATATTACTACCGCTTGTAAAAGCAGCTGTTTGAGATCTTCCACAGGACTTTGTGGTGAGAGAGACATACCAAAACATGGAACTTCTTTTATCTAATTTAAACTTGGTAAAAATAGTTATTGTTGAGATTAACCTTATAAGATGCTGCTACTCTGTTTTACTTCAGGAGAATTTTATTTTCTAAGAGAGAGAGGAAGATAGAAATCAATCCTCAGGACGGTTCACAGTAAGTAAACAGCTCTGCTGTGGCAATATGAAAATTGCTGTTGTGTTACCTACCACACACAGCCAAAGAGTCAAATGCTTCCTTTCTATAGTCAGAAAGAATGTACTGTTTCTTACTAGTTATATGTACATACAATGTCAGAGTGACTTCTTCTCTGTTTCTAAACAAACATTCTGGTGGTCTAAACACTGAGCCAGGGAGTTGTACTTTCTAATTATACTGCAATTAGTGTTATATTCAACAACACTGCACCCTCATTCTCAACTTGGAGTCAAGCTAACTGCCAGTTGAAACAGGTATCCTCTTTTATAGCCTGGGGAAAAAAAGAACAGGATCACAGCTTAGACGAAGGCATGTTTATTTATAAGCTTGACAAAGATAAAACAGAAGTCAAACATCTTAGCATTAGTTCACTGAGTTTGTATTAGACCATACAGTGCACAAAATATAATTTTAAAAAGGACCTACAGTATACCTCCTATTCCCACATGGGCCAGGCTATGCTGGCAAAATAGCAGCAACTGAAGGCTGAATAAAAAAGAGACCAAGATCAAACCTGGACACTCTATAAAGACTAAAATTATTTTATTTTCCCTATTCCTGCAAGAAAAGCTTTTTCTAAAAGGAAAAAGTACACCAACAAGGCCACACGACACTTCATTTTAAACTGCTTCTGTTTACTTGCTTCCCATCCAAGAAAGAGAAGTCTACATCACTGGACATGCTAGTTTTCAAGTATAGTCAGTGGCACCACCATAGCAGGTACAGTAGTACCCTAGAGAACACCATTTACCAGGAAGCCTCTTCGTCCTGCTCTCACAGATAAACTGCTAGGGTATGGGAGGCAAATGGTTTATCAATTTTTGTGCCCCACTCATTTTCCTTCAGTAAATCACAGTTGCAGGAAAAAAAAAAATCTCTATTTATTCTCCCATTAACTATTAAATTTAAAGTTTTGCTTTATTCTTTACTCTTAGTTCAGAAAGAGAATAAAAAAGCAGCCAAGTTAGCTACATTACCCCCACTGACAGATAAATATTAAAGAGCTCTAATGGCCCAGACACTAAATACTCAACTTTGAGAGATTTAACATCAAACTTGCTTTTTGAAAAACAAACCTTTTGTATCCTTCAGTGCTAATTCTCCTGAGTCTGTGATCACTAGAATAGGTCTATTTTGCTTGGCCTTTTTTTTTTTTTTTTTTTTCACCAATTTTCAATTTCAAGCACCGATCAAAATTTCTTGGGCTCTAAGACCCATAAATACTTATACCCCTCCTCCACCACTCTCTACTCATCCCTTTATCTTGAAAAGGATGTCTATACTCAGATTATAATATTCTCTTCTCATCTTCTGGTCCAAAGTACAGCAGTCTAAGACAACTGGCCCTAATTATTTCTAGTGTTACTGTGAATGCAGAAAAACCTAAGTTTAGTTTTCAGGATCTAGGACCATAAGCATTTTGAAAAGTCTTGGTTTCATAAAACCCATTAAAAAGCTAAGTCACAAAAATTTCTCTCTAAATGATCAATTTCTCCAGAAATGTTTAACAAATGAATTTTTATATACTATACACACAGAGAGACTTAATATTGACTTTAGATCATATCTCCCAGGGTCCCTGTTGATGAGATTAATCAAGCGGTTATAAATTTACCAGTGTCCCTATTTTCTTTAAGCAAGCAACCTCAATTCCAGTTACCATTTTAGAAAAGAAAAAAGAACCCTTAATAGGTCCTAATGAATCAGATAATAAATCGGAAGAAAGCCTTAGAGACAGAAAATATACCAGCTAAACTAAAAATACTAGATGTGCAAAATTTCTGGAAAATTTCTATCTAAAGAGTAGTGAGATTACCCACAGAATCCCTAGAAAGAGTAGCATGTTTGCCATCACAGTCAAACAGCAGAATACATTCAAGGGACTTGGAAATGGCATTTTAGTATCTCCAGGCATCAACCACTCCCAATTTTGTTCATCCTGTCTTATCTAAACTATCAATAAGATATCTACTCTGTTAACCTATATTAGGAAAGACTTGTTTCCCAGTTCAATGTTCTAGTTTTGTCAAAATATCATGGCTGCTGCAGGCAAATGTATTACACTCTGAACAGAAAAGTCCTGTGATTGGTTCTGTCTCCATTTTGCCACAAATTATCCCCAAAGCAAACCAAAGGGCAAGCTACTACTACTTTCCTTAAAGGTTTCTGTTTGGGAAGGAATAATCATACTGCATGGAAATGACAAAAAACTGCCATCTTACCTTACAAACAAACTCTTCCATTCTTTCCATTGCATGATGGGCTTGTAAGAGAGGGGACATACCCATAAACCCCTCTTCTTCCTGAGAAGCTTCATCATTGCACTCATGTTCCTCAGATATCTGCAAGGCAAACATAGCAACAGTCAGAGATAGAGACCAGGAGCCAAATAAAACAATCAATACATTTTCTCTCAAAAATTATGAAGAAATTCTCTTAAGGTCAAAACAAGGCCTATGACAAGAAGCAATACAGGAAGTCAGTTTATTATAGAATAATGCTTATTAAAAATGAAGAACAGTTATTCGGTTCTTCTCTGACAGACAAATGAACTATCACAATAGCATTCCTATGTCTGTTTCAGTAGCAAATTCCTGGATTAGCTTGAATGGTTTGTTTTTTGTTTTAAGAATCATATTCATAGATGGCAAAATATTATTAACTATATAAAGTTGAGGAATTACTGACAGGAAAATCTCTAAGAATCACACTCGATACATATAAAATAAACAATCGCAATACAATGTGGTAAGTGTTCTGAGGGAAAGAAGGAAAGAAGAAAAAACCATTTACTAAATTTTTATAATATGCCAATACAAGGGCCTTATACAGGTCATCTATCTTAATCCTGACAGCCACCTTTATTAGATAAGTATTCTTATCTAATTTAACATATAAAGAGATTAAATAAGTTGCCCAAGGTTACATGTAGTAAAGATGAAAAGTAAAAAATCCAATACTCATTGTCTTTCTACATTCTAGAGAAAATGGTCAATTTGTCTAGGGAAATGAGGAAGAAATGACAATTTGGTTAGATCTCAAGGGATAAATCACTAAAATTAAGATTTCTATTTCCAGATCGAGCTTCATACTAGTTCACACAGAATGATATTGTGACAAGGGCAATGGACTAGATAGAAGTCAGGAGAGCCAAGTAGTAAGCCTGATTCTACCAGTAATATCAATGAAACTTTCTACAGGTCTCTCAAGCTTTCTGAGCCTCATTTTTTTCATTTCCATCTAAAAGTAGAAGTTTAAACTAAACAATCTGTAGAGTCTTCTCCATTCTCTAAAATTCTGTGATTCTGTAACTCAATGAATAATGACAGCATGAGAGAACTGTAATTCTACATCTAAGTGTCTGCTAGATAAACAGCACTACGGGCATGAAGAAATTAACTGATCTTCCACCTCCAATCAAAAAACTAAATGGTGATTTCAAGAAAAAAAAAAAATGGTGTAGATGATAGAGGCTCTATTCATCCCTCTGGCAACCAAATCAAAGTTGTGATGGAAACAAGGAGCAAACAGCAAGGAAAAATCGCCTGGGATCTAGATGAATAAGCCATACAACTAGGGAGAAAAACAAGAAATCACCCTGCAACAGCAGAAGGTAGGACGGGGTGAGGACAAGAGGCTGCCCAGTCCCAAGCAGCTGAGCGGGACGGAGGCTGCTGCAGCAGCAGCAGCAGCAGCAGCAGCAGCTGCAGATGCCTCTTAAAGGGGCTGTGTCTGTGAATGAACTTTCATGGTGACGGACCTGCTTGCTATGAGCACCAGCACCGATTTGGCTGCACAGGGGGCACTAGGGACTTACAGGGGTCACTGAGTTGTCCGAGCGAGGGCCGAGGGGAGACTCGCTCGGTACAGACGTGCCAGCATTATCTATTGTTCCTGTTGAGCCCTCCCCGCTCCCAGCACCGCCATGGCCGTGAAGTTATCAAACTGTATAACAGATGTCACTAGGCCCAGAGGATTCCCTGAAACTCCACCTCCCCAAAACTCACGGCCCCACCCAAGCCACATCCAGGTGTGTCCTCTCTTAGTCAGGTGCCCCTTGCTGAGCAGCTCCTAGACTCACACTGGAAGCAGGTGACCTTGGTTTCTGGTGAGGCCTTTTGAGGCAACTATAAGCACAGCTTATAGTGGATTGCTTGCTGAATCTTAACAGGTGGCCCCAGAGGGGTAGAGTCTTGGGCTAAATTTGGCCTGCAGCTGAACCCCTCCCCTCTCAGGACTGTGCCATTGGACACCTACCACACAAATCCACACTAATAAGACCAGGAGACTTAGGAGCTTTGCTTAGTACATAGAAACAGACACAGAAAGGCAGCCAAAATGGGAAGACA